GCTCGCACTACACTTTCTATAGACCCATCTGAGTCAGAGTCAAGCAAATCAGTGGGCATGCAGCGAAGAGTTGGGCAGGAAGCGAGTGCAGTGCAAAGCAGATCAGAAGAAGGTAGTCTGCGATGCTCTGATTGAATCATTGTCTCATTCAGCCTGGTTGACTGACGACCTTCTTGTTGAAACATGTGTTTCGCTACAGCAACGCACAGCTCCTTGATTCTATCACTGGTTGGAGCCGGGAGATACCAGGAACCCTTCAGGCTGCAGGAATCCCTCTGGATATTGCTCATAGCAGGGACATTCAATCTATTTTCACTACAAGAGCCACGGCCGAAAAGCCATCCGAGAAGGCTTCCCGTCTGCAAAAGCTCCAAACAAATGAAGGCTACAGGAGTTGTTTGGTCGAAGTGGCCAACCTTCTGACCATGAAGCAGCTGAAAGGCAACAAGAGGCTTACCCAAGCCAAAACAGGCTTCCATTAGTAGCTCGACCTCACGAGAGCTCCATGAAATCAGCTGATCTGTCGGTCGCGGTAGGGTGTAAAATTCATCCAATAAGCCACTTAACTCGGTGAGGCGTTCATCTATAGTTTTATTAACAGGCGCCTTGAAAGATGACATCGCACAACCTGCAATTCGCTGGAGGTGACAGCAGAATGATATCCATTGAAACAAGTCACCAGCAACTGATCCCTGGAGGGCCTGAGAATGAAGCTCCCTCTCGACTGTACTGTGCATCTCCTCGATAAGACAGTCGAATATTGCGTGTTCAGCATTGTTCTGTTGAGTATCGCAGTTTACAAAAGTTTGAAGTGGACGAGGCCACTTCATAAAGAGCATTGTAGCTAGCCGAGCCAACCGAATTCGATTAACCACAGCAAACAGAAGGCGAGTGGCGTCGACACCAATTGAAGCAGTGCCAATCCGTGATCCAGTGATTGGCTTCACCTCGTCGATAACTGTTCCAATCGTCGTGAAGCGCTGTATAACTCGACAAATGAAACCAGTGGCTTCAGAACAGTCACTTAAGCAAAGTGCTACAATGCATTTAGCCTCCATCAGCGAAATGCCTACTTCCCGGGCTCCGGCCTCAAAAGCATTGATCATTCGACTACTAATAGGTTCTTTTCTAAATTCATCTGTAGTAAAAAGGGATTCAGTGCATACATTTGACTGAGGACTTGCCATCTGCTCAGCCGTGTGGAGGTAAGCCAAAGAGAGGGATTGACATTTGAGGAATAACTCGTCATCACAGTCAGGTTGAGACTTACAGCGCAATCTACAGGAAAGTCGGGCAAAGCAAGATGCCAAATTGCAGTGAATGCTAAAGTATATAAGCTCAAATCGACGGTTTGCTTCCGAGTTTTTCTTGAGCTGCTGACAGCTGTTTTTGTCAAAGTTGTCTATTTGAGTCATTTCGATGTCGCCAAAAGCTTTGGCGAGGATCCAGAGAAATATACTTAACTTAAACTGTCTGGCCTCAGGACCACAAAAAATCATTTCATCCGAAGTGTTTTGGTTAGTTACCTCAGCAAGGAGGGCATATATCTCCATATGAAATTGGTTCCAGCTATAAAAACAAGACAGCTCAACTTTTCCTGTAAATTTGGCTAGTTCTATGAAGGCAAGAGCATAGTGGATCACAGCCATTCTCCGTCTAACAATGAAATTTGATACAATCAAGTGATAAATGACATGCAGTTTGAGTATATTATTCTCCGATCTCTGCTGGGAGGTATGGAGCGTCTTGAGTAGATAGGTCCATGTGCGGATTGCAAGGTTAATCTGCCCACGTGAAATGTGAATTTCAGCAAGAGCCTGTAAAGCTTGTATTTGTTCATGATTGGAAGCAGGAGCATCTGCGACGAACAGACAGCTCTTTAGATGTGTAATAGCGGAATCAAAATCCTTCAATTTCTCTGCTGCAAGTCCGGCTACAAGATGACTTCTTAGGTAAATGTCGATCTCATTCAAAGGTGCATTACATGACTGACTAGAATATATAGTTAATTCTTGTTGTTTTTCCATAAAAGGTTCTCTGGATAACTTAGTTGAAGAATCGGTAAGCCACATGGCAAAGTTGATGATACCCAAAGTGAGAGAATATAAATTCTTTCTAAATGCATCAATTCCAATCTCACACAAAGCAGTTACCTTTCTATTCGGATCTTTTGATGCTGAAATGGGCATGCATATAGAAGATTTAAAACAATATTAATAAATGTAGTTCTGATCATGTATCACCAAAAGCAAAATTAAAAGCTAAATACTTGATTTTGACTCCTCCTTAAGTCCCTAAAAGGTGTTCGGATTCTCACTAACTCAATATATCCATAATTGTGACATGTTTACATATGGATAAGAGATCTGCTTAAAATGTAATAAAAAAGAAAAACCGACAATAAATTACGTCATTAGCTCGCCAGAAATATGGCCGAGTGAATCATGCGCGTTTTTCGTAAGCAGAGCTTTGCCAAACAGTAATACCTATATAACATAAGAAAAGTAAAATATTCTGACCATAGAAATGTGAATGCCGGTAAAATGTGAGTCCGCTGAGACGCCCCTTCCAGGCACCACGTGAGAATACATACTAAGTACATATAGATAACTTTGCACTATTAAAAGTGATGTTAATATAATCAAAAAATCATACGAAAGAGTAAAGATACGAAGA